AGGACAGTCCTCTGAACTGGGGGTGATAACAGTGCTCTGAAGGTGGAGTGAGGACAGTGCTCTGAACTGGGGGTGAGAACAGTGCCCTGAACTGGGGGTGAGGACAGTACTCTGAACTGGGGGTGAGGACAGTACTCTGAACTGGGGGTAAGGACAGTGCTCTGAACTTAGGGTGAATGGGGGTGAGAACAGTGATCTGAACTGGGGGTGAATGGGGGGGGGGTGAGGACAGTGCTCTCAACTGGGATGAATGGGGGGTAAGGATAATGCTCTGAAGGGGAGTGAATGGGGGGAGAGAACAGTGCTGTAAAGTCAAGGGTTGAAGGAGCAGGGAAAACTAATGTGAAGGGGGCAAAGATACTTCTATGAAGGGGGGAGGGTTCAAGGGGACATGGGAGACACCAATGTGAAGGAGAGACAGTGCTATGAGGGGGAAACTGAGACATAAATGGGGAAACAGTGATGTGAGGGGGGGACAGAGGACACAATTCGAACTTCTGGAAGAACATTTTTCTGACCTCTGTGAATTTTAATTCATTACCCATTTTTCTGACCTCTGTGAATTTTAATTCATTACCCATGCTGTAGATGTAGATAATGTAAACAGAACAGGACTGCATTCATTCTAACAACAAGCAAGCTTTTACTTTTATGTGTTTTTGAAATGTAAGCACTCTCCCAGGACATCAAACCTTATGGTACAGGCAGTCTTGAAAGTACTTACTGTGAACTACGGAATAACAACCTGATAACATAGCTATCACAAACCAACTCAGCCATGCATGGAAGGTGTGTGTGCTTGGAGTGATTTCAGTGTGTTACACATAGATTCCAGCAGCTTTAGGCCTGGGTGCCCAGGGCTCTGGGACACAAATGCCAGGAATAAGAATAGTGAGCCCTCATTGGGTTTCATTTGTAAAGTTGTAGATTTGGAGCTTAGTACCCTTGGTGAATGATAGTTTTTCTTTTTCAAGGGGTATGTACCCTAACAATAGACTTTCCTTATTTGCAGCTGTTGGATCTGTTAAAGTGATTGTAAAGGCTCAAGGTTTTTTTACCTTCATACATTCTATGCATGAAGGTAAAAACTTTCTGTGTGCAGCAGCCCCCCAATACTTTTCTGAGCCCCATCATGATCCAGGTATGTGCACAAGATCAGCAGCTCTGCCGGGTCTCTCCTTCCTCATTGGCTGAGACAGCATACTGTCAATCACAGCCAGCGAGCCAGTGAAGAAGAGAGGACACACAGAACAGTGGCTTGGGAGCGAGCCTGCTTGGGAGCCCCCATAGCAAAGTGCTTGCTCTGGGGGCACTTGGCAGGAGGGAGGGGCCAGAAACGCCCGTGGATTACCTGAGAAGAGACGCATTGAGACTGCTCTGTGCAAAACCACTGCACAGAGCAGGTAAGTATACAATAATATAAGTGGTGAAGCGCTCAACTTAAATACTCAAAAACTAGTGCAATATCCCCATATACTGTATAAATATTAAATCCCTAGTGATATAATAATACACAAATGATACCTCTTAGGCTATGCAGATATACAAATAATACTAATAAATAATAATGAATAGAAAACTAGTGCAATATCCTCATATATAATATATATCCCTGGTGATATAGTGATAACTAATATCTCTTAAACTGTGCAAAAAAGTGATACTGAAATCAATTGTCTCAAAGACAGACCAGACACATGCTAAAGTTATAAAAGAAATTCAAGAGGAGTCTATTAAACAGTGTTGCACTATGGAGGTCTGCTTTTGTTTTTCCATATGAATCGCTATATGCCTGAGTCCATTGTGTGAGGGGTATTGAAGTATTACTTACTGCCTGGAGGAGGATCTTGGTCGGTGGTGGCAGTGGAGGAGAATATTTTCTGGCAGAGTTCGTTGTGTGAGGGGAGTAATTGGAGTGGTACTCACTGCCTGGAGGAGGATCATGGTCGGTGGAGGCAGTGGAGGAGATTAACATCTGGCAGAGATATATATATATAAAAAGCTCTGTGACCCGCAAGGGTCGAATGTGGAAGGTGACATTTCTGCTATTGAGGGGAGTCACGTCAAGATTTTCACGAAGAGCACTATTTCAGCATGGAGTGGCAATATTTGAACACTTTGTCATAATTTTTGCACAGTGTGGCATCACTATTTTAATTAATATATTATTTTAAATTGATATAATCAATTGCATTTCAGTATCACTTTTTTGCACAGTTTAAGAGATATTAGTTATCACTATATCACCAGGGATATATATTATATATGAGGATATTGCACTAGTTTTCTATTCATTATTATTTATTAGTATTATTTGTATATCTGCATAGCCTAAGAGGTATCATTTGTGTATTATTATATCACTAGGGATTTAATATTTATATATGGGGATATTGCACTAGTTTTTGAGTATTTAAGTTGAGCGCTTCACCACTTATATTATTTTGTTTCACTTATCTTGTGGTATATAGAATAGGTGATAGCAGCTAACTCACTAGGTTCTGTGGAGCGCAGGGGGATTTCTGTATTTTTATTTCAGGTAAGTATACAATGTTTGTTATTTTTAAACAAAAAAAAATCTGCCTTTAATATCACTTTAAATGTACCATTGAAAGCGTTTTATCTATTTAACCGCTTCTTGTCCGCCGTATAGCAGAAGTACTGCTACAGGGCAGCATGGGTGCGCAAAATCACGTATATATACGTGATTTTACATTTCCGGGTAAGGAACGCGCACGAACCGCAAAGCGGTCTGCTTACAGTGAAGCACAAACACAGCCCAGTATGCAAAACCACACACAGCACACAGTTAACCCTTTGATCGCCCCAGATGTTAACCCCTTCCTGCCCAGTGCCCTTAGTACAGTGTCAGTTCCCCTCAGTGTCAGAATGCCTGCCACAGTTCCACACTCCTGCTATAAGTCACTGATCACCTACAATACTAGTATAAAAAAAAATCCGAGTATCTATACCGCCATTTGTAAACGCTATAACTTTCACGTAAACCAATTAATTTACACGTATTGGGATTTTTTTTAGCAAAGACATGGAGCAGAATACATTTTGGCCTAAATTTATGACGAAATTAGATTTTTTTTACTGGACACGTTTAATAACAAAACGTCAAAAATATTGTATTTTTCTCAAAATTGTCGGGCTTTTAATTTTTATAGCGCAAAAAATAAAAAACGCACATGCAATCAAATACCACCGAAAGAAAGCTCTATTTGTGGAAAAAAAGGACATAAATTTCATTTGGGTGCAGCATTGCATGACCGCACATTTGTCAGTTAAAATAATGATGCGCCATAACGCAGCATTGTGTAGTGTTGTAGTGTCGTTCATCCATCCATCCATCCATTTATTTAAATGCGAGCAGTGCTGTGCATCACCAGGGTAGGATTTTTATATATATATATATATATATATATATATAGTATATACAGTATATATATATGTGTGTGTGTGTGTAATTTTTTATTTATTTATTTTTTATGTGCACACTTCTTATGGTTCTTATGATTTTATGATTGTCACTAGTTTCAATGATTTTAATTTATTTATACATATATATTTATATATATTTTAATAGATCTTTTGTGTCTACTTATACTATGTCAATTGCCCCTGTGACCCCTCCACCTGCATAGGGGAGTGTCCAGGATGGCCCATGTGACCTTTGGTTCAACTAGTAGTGAGCATATAAAAGAGGGAGCAGATATTTGGTCAATTGGCTCTGAGGAAGAGGCAAGTCCTCGAAACGCGTCAGCCTATTGGATGTCTACACTCCTTATTGCAGACTGTTACTCAGCGCGGTGTTGACCCAGCTGCTCTTTATGATGTGCCTTGACTATATTGTCATTTGTGAGTACAACACCAACTTTATTTCTTATTAAACATTTTTTATGGTAATGCACTAGGCCTGTGCGCCCTCTGTTTGTTCCTTCCTCATAATGCAAAACATAGCCTGGTCAGGAATAGGGGTAAATCCTCTGGAGGGCAAGTGGGTAATAAGTGCTAAAAGAAATACCTTTCTGTGAGGACTACAGAACCATTGTAGTCATGTCCTGTAGTACATTTTGCCATTCTTGGACAAATGTGTTACTGAGAGTCACCAGGGTTAAACTGGAAAATAATGTTTAAAAAACAATACAGCCAACACATCTAAGACATGATAAGCTGCAATGTATTTCATATTTTGATTATCTACTTAGATATATTTTAATGTTTTGAAACTTTGCAAATCTTTTAAAATTAATGCAGTTTGTGTCCCATCCCATAGAATAATAGAAAATAACAAAAAAGCCTAAAAAAACATGATGGGTGAAAAATAAGTTGTTTCTTGTAAAAGAGGCAAACATTGAATATGTGAAATTGGCAAGAGCTTAGGTTTAAGACACAGCTTTTCACTATTCTTTGAAACATCCGTGAATGTAACGTAGTCTATTGTAATTAGCTATCTATCCCCAAGCAGTACATGAGAGGCTAAACCCTTTGTAAAATATCTGATTAGGTTTAATACAGTGTACAGCTCACTATCGATCTAATATGGTGTAGCAGCATGTTAAGAGTTGCTTTTCTCTTCCACCTTTAGATCTAAGAACATTATCAAAGCCAAGAAGAAAAAGATCAGCTTTGAAAATAAAGAGCAAGCGAGACCTGTGTATTGGACTGAAATCCACATTCTAAGTCAACTTTGTGACACAATGAAGGGCAAAAATGCATCCCAATCAATAATTTGTGATTTTTATTTGACACAGAAAGCAGCAGATGATGATATTGTTTGTATCCTTGCTATTCCAACAGGATTACTGCAATGAATTGTAGTCCTAGGTGCTGTACCTACAAAAACAATGTTAAACTGGTTTGGGGTGGAAGATGTAGGCAGTATTTTTGCTCTTTTTTGTTTTTGCAATTCTTTGCCAAGTGGTGGGCTATAGTCAGCCTATCTGTACTTCAATGGGAGTGATCTCCTGTTAGAATGTGTAAAATGTATTTACTCTACCCCAGGGGTGGACTGACAGCTCCTGGGGCCCCGGGCAATAGGGGATCATGGGGCCCCTGTGTCCTTGCCCACACTCAAAGCACACCCAAAAAAGCCTATAAAAGGTACCAGGGGCATTTCATGGGGCTCCCTACTGACCCTGGGCCCTCGGGCAGTGCCTGGGCGCCTGAATGGTCAGTCTGCCCCTTGTTGTTTGAGTGTGCTCCAGTAGGGAGAGGTATCATTTTGTGTTATGGATCTTTGATGGCCTAAACAATCAGCATGCTTGGGGGGTCCTAGTGATGCATGCTGAGAGAATGCTTGGAGAAAATGTAATGTTTAGGACACCTCTTGTTCTGTATTTTTGCTCATGGATTTCTGCCCTGTGAAGATGTCACCACAGCAGAATTAACTGTCTCTCTCCCCAGACCCTGGGGCCTAGAGTTTGGAAGAATGCAGGGATCCTCCCTCCTGAGAGGTATTCCTGAACATGCTGGTTTTTTAAGCCAAAAGTACCGGGCCTAGATGAAACAAGCTGCAACCATAAATGTTTAAATGTTGCGAGTGACTGGTTGAGTGACAAGTCCATGCAGAAATATTTCCATGCTGTCCTTGAAATACAAAGACTAAGTTATCACATGAACCTCAATTGCCAGGAAGCCAAAGCTCTGTAAAATTCCAAATTTGTGTTTAGAAAGTAGATAGATCACAGTATGTGTTTAGAAAGTACATAGGAAGACCTTATGAAAGATTCAGAAGAGATTAAAGCACAGTCTGTGTTTGAGACCATCAATGCTTTGGGGATATCCCGATCCATACATCACCCTTCTTCCCATATCACTATATCTTTTTATTAGAACATTTTCCAAAGTTTAGAATAAAGTACTGTAAACACAGTTCAGTATTCAGCTATGAAATAAACCAATACAAGGTCATATGATAAAAAAAGTCAAATACAATAGGTTTAGAAAAATGAAAATTTGCCTCACAATACAGAACAGGGCATTACAAAAAGCCATATGTAATAACACTATTCTAGTGTTACACAACTCATTGGTAGTTATAGATCTCTGTTCTTGAGGATCCTATTTTGTGCAGTAGGCCTATTCTTCAGCTGTTGATCGGAGATGCCAATATGTTTACACCCTGAGTAAAGAACCACACCTGATATTGAATGTGCCTGGGATCTTATTGCCATGTAAAAGTGCTTAGGACATTCATGATATAGCTGTTGGACATCTGATGATCGATATTTATTTATAGTTATTGAAAAGTCATCAACAAAAGCACTATACAAGTGTGGAATAATAATTTAGAATTGAGAAAATATGTCCTGCTTAATGAAATGATTGTGTCTCAAAACAGCGAGGAACAAAGAGAATATTTTAAAAACCGTCTCGGCATCCCGTAGGCCAAATGCTATGAAAAAGAGAATTAGCCACATGTGGTTATTGAGAAATTTTTCAAAATTCACTAAAATGTGTTTACTGTTCCATTCAAACAGCTAATATTAATCCCTCGCATAATGAAATGCACAGTTATGTTGCATAAAATCTTTAGCAGATATAATATAAAATGCACTTTCTTCTTTGGCATATAATGTTTTTACTTGTGTACAAAACCCAGCTTTACCAAGCTCTACAAAACAATGATTATGAAATGGTACTTACTAAAGTGTTGAGGAGACATAGTGCAATGAATAATATTTTTAAAACCTGACTCTAAGTAAAACTTTTAATTTACTTTTGGATAGCTGGGAAGGGTTAACGTTATTGTTAAAATAATAGAAAAACTCCCAATGGAGACACAAACAAATATACAACAAAGTGTGCTTTTAAGGGTGTCACTGGGACAGTGAGCAAGGGAGACCCTCTGCAATAGCAGTCACAGACAAATAAAAATGTGGCAGAAATGATAGAGCGGATCATAAACCTAACTGAATGACATTTGGTTTGATAAGGCACTATGTGTTTTAAAAAAAAATGCCTTTTTGTATACATTACTTGTGCTTACCTCTTTATTACAACTTAGTGCTGTTGATTTCCTGCTGCCTTTATTCAGCCACTTCATGTTTTTATGCAAGCACTTAAAGTAAAGAACCCTTACCTTGTAAAACAACCTATTCAGTTTAAAATAAAAAAAGCAATCAGAAACATTTGTGTATATATGAGGTGTGACAATTTATTTCCCGAAATGCATTGTAAAAAAAAAAAATATATAGAACACCTCTGCACTCTTCAAAAGATCAGATGAAATTGGAAGACAATGTTCTTTCTGATCTTCTGTCAAGAAGATTCAAGTCACCATCTCTGCAGAAATCTTTCTCATTCACAGATGAAATTTGAAGACAATGTTCTTTCTGATCTTCTGTCAAGATTCAAGGCACCATCTTTGCAGAAATCATTCACAAATCCTGCATTAGAATCTGACGCATTGTTTCCCTATTCATGTTTAATTCTTCTGCCATCATTCGCATACTCATTCTTCAATCTCAGCATACAAGGGTTCATGATCTGTTAACCTTTGCATCCGTTCTTTGCATTTTTGGCTGCTCACTTGCATCACCATTGACATCTCTCTGCCATCCTTAAACCAACTATGCCATTTACAAACACTTGATATCTTCATGCACTGTTCACCATAAGCCTGCTGTAACAGAGCTAAAAACTTTCACTCTGCTCTTGCTCTGACAAGATAGCAGCTTGATTCCAAAGCTCTGCACCAGGGATGCCGATTTCATCCAGCCATAGAGCCCACACTGTGGCCGGAGATGCCACTATCCCCCAGGAAGCAATGGAGGCACCTTCACCATCCACCATAAGGTTTGCGGGTCAGAAGGGAGAGCTCACAAGAGGCCATCTCTCGAGCTGCAGCTTCAGAAAGCAAGATGGCTGCCGCTCCTCTTCCCCCCCTCACATGGTGACTCTAGCCCGGCCACAGAGGAGAGGGTGCAGACTTTTCTGACACAGCGATGCAGTCCTCTCAGGGACATAAATCCCCACAGCTAGCGGTGACATTAGTGGTGACGTCACCACTAGCTCCACCCAATTGATCGCCAATCTGACAGTTGTCGGTCACATGTAAACAATTGGGTGGAGCTGGCAGTAACGTCAGCGGTAACATCACTGCTACCTGTGCCCGATTGTTTAGCAGGCGTCGGTTTTCTCTTTTATCTCGTGAAGTCAGCATCATCGGGACAACTCTGGACGATGTGATTTATGATAGATTACATCAATGGAATCATTTTTTTTTTGTTTTTGACTTTTTTGTTTAATTAAAGGACTTGTTAGAAACTGTTGTTTTGTTTTTGTGTTCAATTAAATGAATTAATTGAATTTTGGAAGTATGGAGTCTTTGAGTATGGAGTACCCCTTGCTCATTTACAAGGAGGGGCACCCTGATGCTGTTGAGCCCCCCTTTCCTCAGACCCTTACAACCACCGGGTAGGCTTGTGGGGAAGAGACCCTTGTCCCCATGCCGAGGGCACGTGACTTGGTAAGCCGCAGGGAGAGGGGACTGCTCAATCACCCCCCTCTCCCCTTTCCTGCCCGGCCAGGCCTGTGCTCGGATCAAGGGTCTGGTAGGAACATAGGGGGGACCCTATACCCCCCATTTTTGGGGGGTTGGGTTCCCCTTAAATGTCCTACCTGGCCTAAAGGGCCTGGTAAGGCTTTTAGGGGGAACCCCATGCACTTTTTCCCCCCCATTTTTGGGAGGTCTGGTTCCCCTTAAAAGTCCTACCAAGCCTAAAGGGTTTAGTTTTGTTCTATGTTCTGTTTCCCAATCTCTCAATTTTTTTTTTCTCTTCCCTTCTGTTCCTATCCTAGCAAGCTTCTCCCTTGTAGAGTGCAACTTTTACCCTTTGCATTTAACCATTGTTTCTCATTTGTTTGGGTGTCCAATATGGTGGTGGGTACTTACGCATACATTTTCCCCCCCGCTTTGACCCAGTATGACGGCTAGTCGTAAATCTACATTTTTGTGGCTCATTTCGACAATGCTCAGGGCCTTTACAGTACACATTACAGTATTATCATTCACAAAAGTCAGATATTGTGTTCTTACAAGAAACACATTTCCCATCCTCTTAAAAACACCTGTCTTTACATAAATAATATTCAATGTTCTATATGGCTAATGCGTTGGATAAAAGAAGAGGAGTGATGATGTGGAGATCCAGGAGGTTGATTTATTTTACTGAAGAGACATCTTGGTTTTCATTTTTTAACCTTGATCTCTTATTATACCTCTAATTGCATTCATGCCTCATTTTTTTCGAGCATGTTCCATAAATTGGTTTCTTACTAGGATGGGTCAATTTTATATGGTGTCAACCTTTTTAGACTTGCGTCTTAATAAGTCCAGGTGCTCTGGTTCAACTCAAGCACCCTCCTAAGGTGAGCACTACCATTGCCAAACTGCTACACTCCTTGGAACTGGTGGACATATGGCATGAAAAGAATCCTGCAGAGAGAGTTTATACCCACTACTCTCATCCTCATCAAGTCTATTCCAGGATAGATCATGTATTAGTTTCCTCTCTGATTACCTCCCTGGCCCATATGGCTTGCATCCACGAGACGGTCTCATCAGATCACTCTCTAGTCTTCTATTCATTTACATATCCCCACTGGCGATTGAATGAATCCATACTCAGTAACCCCGTTAGATGTATGCAAATCGAAAGGCACATTAAAGAGTATTTTTGACACATGTCGGATTTGGTTTGCCCTATAACAGTATGGGCAGCTCATAAGGCAACATTATGAGGTATTTTGATCCAAATTAAGTGGGAGCTTCAGGTGGGTATCATGTGCCTTGATAGGGAACTCCAGGCTTTATGTACAGCTCATAAGACACAACCTAATGAGGACTTGCGGTCAAAGATAGAGGCAACAGACTTTTTCCTTAACTTGCTCCTTACCACCAAAGTAGAGAAAAGCATTTGTTGGTCCTCTGCAAAATGTTATATGCAAAGAGACAGAATTGGGCCACTGTTAGCTACACGGCTGATCCCTAAAACTCAACAGTTTGCCCTTCCTGAAATTAGATGTGCATCCAGAGCTCATATTCCCCTAGCTACATCACCAACCCCATCCGCAGATATTGTCCAAATCGCCCGCTCTGCTCCTCCCAAGACATCTTGCTCTCTAGCTCCCTGGTCACCTCCTCTCCTCCCACACTCACCTCCAGGACTTCTCCAGAGCCTCTCCCAT